ACATGAGCAAACCAAGGCCCACGAGCTTCTGTGACTGCAGTCATGGTTGAACTGGTGGAAGGGCTGGAACAGGCATTCTCATTCTTCCTAAAGCTCCAGGAGGTTCCCGCGTGTCCACGGGGCATCTAATGTCTCTAGCTCCCTTGCCCTTCTTCCCAAAGCCACGATCTCAAGAGAAAATTAGCTGCCTGTATCCTGGATATTTTTCTGGCTCCAAACAGAGTTGACTGAGGAAATATCTATACACCCATGTTCATTGCAGCATTATTCATAAGAACCAAAAGCGTGTGTCAGTGGACGGATGGACAAACAAAATGTGATCAATATGGATGAACCCCAAGGATGTCACACTAAGTGAAATAAGCCAGTAACAAAAGACAAATATTGTATGATTTCACTCATATGAGGTACCTAGAGGAGTCATATTCATAGAGACACAAAGCAGAAGGGCATTTGCCTGGGGCTAGGGGAGTGGGGAGTTGGTGTTCATGGGGACAGTTTTGATTTTGCGAGATGAAAGGGTTCTGGAGATGGAGGGTGGGGATGGCTGCCCCATGGTGTCAATGTACTTAACGCCACTGAACCATACACACTTAAAATTGGTGGGACGGTAAATGTTATGTGTATTTTACTGCAATTACTAACAATATTTTTTTTAAAAAGAGTTGCACCTACATGGATTTCACGTCCAATGGCCAAAGCATTAACTCACTCCAGTGTGCGTGGCTGAGCAGACTCTCTCAGTGAGCAGTGCAACCCGACACCTATGTCGATCACCCCGCACACTTCATACTTCTGTCTTTATTTCCATGATCTGTTAAGCAAACCTTATCAACAAGACCAAAAAATGTGCAGTAGCTCCATTAGCTACTAATTTCTGGAATGCCAAGATCAAAGACACACTGGTCAAAGGCACATGACGTCAGGGACTTTCTACGGTGCGCCAGAGGACGCCTGCGCGCGGGCCCTACCAGCCACCCAAGCACGGTTCTCCAAGGCAGAGAATTAGAGCTAGACACTCCCAGACAAGTTACTCTGACCCCAGGCACCAGGAAGTCGGGATGGATGCGAGAAACTGCAGTGCTGGCTCCCGCCCCACCACACAACGGCCTCTACCTGCCCCCCACCCCGCCCTTCAGCTGACCCCACGTGTGTGTCCGTGAAGGCGGACCCTGGCCTCCAACGACAACCAGCAATGACATCCATTCTGATGGCCTCAGCGCATTGTGTGAGGGTTCTGTTTTCCCTCTCCTGGGATGGCCAGTTTGCTTGAGGTAGATTTCTGTTCAGAACCAGTATGGCCTTTTCCACACACGGAATGAAAAACCAAGCAATTATCTGGATATCTGCTCCTCGCACCCTCCATCCTTGGTTCTCCCCACAGCAACAGTCTCTCACCGAAAACTGGTCCACGCCCTTCAGGGACCATCTCGCCCATCACAGCAGATCCTGCTGCTGTCCACCAACCTCCATTCTCCCCTTCTTCCACAGCAGGATTCCTCATGCTTTCTCAGAACTGTTAAAAATTTTGGTTGGGTCGCTCTGGGTTGCAGGGCCTATCGTGTGCACTGCAGGACACTGCCGTGTAGCGGCACCCCCAGGTCTCTGCCCGCCAGACGCCATAGCACCTCCCTCCACCAGACCCAAAACATCTCCCTGCACTGCCAAGTGTCCTGAGGGCGAAAGTGCCCCTCGTTCAGAGCCACCGTTTGGAGTGCAGGAGCTTTAGGTAAGCCCATGGCTGCCTGGCTGAAAATCGGATCTCCTCGCCTGCTTCACAGCCAATGACTGACTCCTCGCCTGAGGAGGGACCATACTGCAGTGCACCCTGGTCCAGAGTTTCGCCCCAGCCCAGCTCCGGCCAAGGCCAGGCCTTACTTGCCACCATGCCCTCACCTGGCTGTCACACTTTATTTAGACTGCTTCACTCCCTCCCCTGCAGGGTTTTCTCTTGCATCTTGTTTCAGGTTGAATTGTGTCACCAACCCCCACCCCCCCAAAAAAAGATATATTGCTATCCTAACCCCCAGTACCTCAATATGACCTCAGTTGGAAACAGGGTCATTGAAGATGTGGTTACACTGGAGCTGAGGTCATACTGGAGCAGGGTGGGCCCTTAATCCAATATGCCTGGTGTCCTTATAGAACGAGAAGAGATGCAGACACACAGAGATGGAACAAACACCATGTGATGCAGAGGCAGAGATGGGAGTGACGAGCTCCAAGCCAAGGAATAGGAAGGACCGCCAGCAACACAAGAAGCCGGAAAGAGGCAGGAAGGACTCCCTACAGGGTTCCCAGGGAGCACGGCCCTGCCAACACCTTGAGCTTAGACTTCTAGCTCCCAGACTGTGAGACCATAAATATCTGAGTTTTAAGACACCCAATCTGTGGTGCTTTGCCACAGCAGCCCTAGGAAAGCAATCCACACTCAAATTCCTATCTCAAGCTCTGCTTCGATGAAACCCAGGCACAGACACCTGGCCATTCCACTCAAAGAGCATGAACGGCAGAGCAAGCCTGAGGCGGGAAACAGGAGTCCCTTCCTGCCTCAGTTCCTGTGAGCCTTTCTTTGTGTGAGAAGGAAGGAAAGGAAGAAGGAAGGGAGGAAGGAAGGAAAAGGGGGAGAAAGGAAGTGACAGAGGGAGGCGAAGGGTTGAGACAAGGAAAGAGGGAAAAAGGGGAAAAAAAGAAATTCACTTTGGGGAATCCTTTCTTCCTTCCATCCTGCATTCATCCAACAAATAGCACAGAGCACTACCATATGCCAGGCACTGCTCTAGGTGCAGGGGAAGAGAGGTGAACAAAATAGACAGTATCTCTGCCCTCATGGGGCTTACCTACGAGCATGGAGGGTGGACCCTGAAGTGTATGGTCTGGGGGATGATGACAAGTGCCATGGAGAAAAGTAAAGCAAGGGAAGGGCGTGTGGATTATCAGAGGCGGAGGCAGCCACCTAAACAGGGTGGTGCGGGGGACACAGCCCCTACCATCAGCTACAGATGCTCCCGCAGTCCTGCCTGATATGGTCTCAGCTCAGGCAGGGAGCAGCACACCTGGCCCTGGCCTCTTTCTCTTTTCTGCCCCAGCCCTTCCGTGAGGTTTGGGGAGCCCACCTGGCCAGGGTGCAAGGGCAGAGTCCATGCTCCAGCAGACTGAAAGTTCGCCCCCACCCTGCTCTAGAACGGAGACTTTAAGAACAACCAATGTTTCTTCCTTCCTGTGTCCTTCTTTTCAGCCCTCACTCCTACTTCCTGGGATCACCTCCCAAATAAACCTGCACCCAGGTCCTTGCCTTGGCGGCAGCATTCAGAAGAACCAAACTAGGACAGATGTGCCAGGAAGGCTTTGCTGAAGAGGGATATTCAACCAAGACCTAAAGAAGGCAAGATGTGGTGGTGTCCAGATTCTCTGCATCTCCAGGACCTTCCCTGGTGAAGAATGAAGCCTGGCCATAAAGAAATTATTTTATTAAGCGGGTCTCTCTCTTTCAACTGTAATTCTCTTGACAGTTGAAAACCCAGTGATATCAAGTATTGAGGAGGATACATGGAAAGCTCCCAGGACATCCTGACCATGTGATGGGAGGGAGGATTTGGGATTGGAGCAGACACTGTCAACACCTTGCGCACTGTCTCCCGGCCACGACCACTTCAGGACAACCAGGCCTGTGTCTCGCTGCCAGCAGGTGCACTTTTTCGCATTTGCAGATGTCAAAGTCTCTCTATCTGACAGTGTAACAGGCCAGAAATGCCCAGAACAAGCCTCCTGGTCCCCCAACTGCCCTCATTCAATGGCTAAGAGTAGTTGGTGTATAAAAACCCCAGCTCCCTTGTCCCTCCAGTGGAAAGACTCTTACACGTGTGTCTGACCTGCCCCCCAATTTTTCCTGCAGGTTTCAACTCCAGTCACCCACGCTGGTACCAGCCCCAAAATGCATCCTTCTTGTGCCTTTCCCACTTCCTTCTGGTGTTTCCTCCAGTGTCACAGCTCTAGTAAATTACTTCCCTTGCCTCAGGGTCTTTTTCTTGGGGAATCCAAACTAAGAGATGGACAAATCTCCCATCTTCAAGGATGTGCACAGACACATACACTCCGATGGAGAGCGTGGGCAGGCCCTCTGGTCCTCATGTTTAAAATCTGTACCCCAAATGTGGTGCTGGATCATTAAATCCCTGGCCAGCAGAGTTCAACTTTAAGAAGCACATGGGTGTGTTTGATGAAAAATAATCCCACCTACACCATAAAGGACTTTCGTCTGCAACATAGATGGGCTAAACCGGCCTCTACTGGCTGGGTCTTTTCCTTCCCTTGGGTTCCCACGACATTCTGCACCCAGAGTGGATGCACTGCTGTCCTTCAGCCCACAGAATGCCCAAGGCAGGGACTCTAACAGCCACTGGGGACAGAGCCTAGTCCATGGCTGGTGTCTCAAGCAGCTCTGCGTGTCCCTGAGCAGGAATCTCATGATTTACCTGAAAAACATTTACCTATCATCCTGTTCTTCAGTCCTCATTTTATTTTTCCCAAATCAATTTCTGAAAGTCAAAATGACTGATAGCTTCATACCCAGGACAATCACTCTCCTTATTTAATAACCCAGCATCGATGACCCAAGAGCTCCCAGAGTGGTGGTGGTTACATGAATCTATACATGTGAAACGATGCCATAGAAGCGCGCGCACACACACACACACACACACACACAGAACGGCGCACACAGAAACTGGTGAAAAGCGAATGAGGTCTGTAGCTTAGCTGCCAACATCAATTTCCCAGTGCTGCTAATCACTCCAGCTGTGTGAGATTTATCATGGGGCTGCTAGATGAAGGGCGCATGGCCACTCTCTGTTCTGTGTTTGCAACTTCTTGTAAGCAGAAAATTGTTTCAAAATAAGAAGTTTTAAAAATGCAAAATTTTAAAAAATACAAAATGAAACCCCTCGTTTAAAAACATAAAAAGAGCTCTCCGAAGAAGACACCACAAAGCCACCCCTTACCTGGGAGCTGGGAATCAGCGCCTTCCACCAGTGCCCGCCTTTCACCAGGTCGACCTCGCACAGAGGCACCGACACCTTCCCAATGACACAGTGGCGTGAGAACTTATCGAAATCCACCACGGTGAGGAGCAGGGTCCTCCGCTGCGCTTCTAGGAAGGGGATCTCGAAGGTGTAGCGCTCCTCAAACACGGGCTTCTGGGTCTTGCGTTTGACGCCCGTCTGCTTAGAGTTCTTCTGGTCTGGCAGGAGGCAGATCTTGACATATGGGTTTGAGTGTGCCATGTCCTGGCGTGAGCCGTCGTGGGAGATGGGGGGTGGCAGGTCCCGGGCCTCGATCACCCGCACTGTCAGGTGGTTGTGCAGCAGGTCGTACTGGGTGCTAAAGTGCAGCATGCCCAGCTGGTACTTGGACAAGATCTCCTCGTCCGTCAGGAAGTCCACATCGTCATTGTTGGAGTCGAGGGAGTACAGCTGGGGCTCAAACTTTCTGAAATAGTCATCTGGGGTATAGGTCCGTCTGAGCACCGAGGGCTGGATGGGCTCCTTCTTGGCGCCGAGGACGCCGAACTCGATGGGTTTAATATCGATGAGCGGGGAGCTGGGTCGTCTGGACTCGAGACCTAAATAGCCATCAGAAATAACAATTAACATCACCACGCAGGGGACGGGACCTGGGCCACTTCAGGAGATGGGCAACATTTCCCAGATTCTCACATTGTCCACTCTGTTTCATAACGCTCTTAACCACCTGCTCTCCACACCTTGAAAGCCTCTCATTTATTCTGAGAGGGAGCATGGCGGCAGCATCAGCTCCATCACCACGATCACCGCAGCTAAGTGCCAGGCATGGTTAAATGTGTCGCATGTATCAAGTCCTCTAGTCTTCACAAGGTTATTAGCTAACGACCATTCTGCAGCCCATCCCCCCACAGCCATTTTACAGGTGAGGAAACAGAAACATGAATTAACTCGCCCAAGGTCACACAACTAGTAAGAGGAGAAACCAAGGGTCAAGCCTGGCTGGTGTGGCCCCCAACCCTTGACTCTAACCTTTACTGTTTACTGCCTCTACTTTCAGAATGGGACTCTGGGGCCGGAGTACTCGGTCAAATTCCAACCTGGCCACTTACTAGTGAGCCATGTGACTTGGGGCACATTTTTAAAATTCTCTGGGACTCAGTTCCCCCTTCTGTGAAATGGGGCTGGTAATGGCTTCTACCTCAAAGTACCTATTGTACTTCTTCAAGGATCCTATTCAGGGAGTTCTTGGGTTTTACCGTCCTTCCTCCTCCCCACCCAAATCATGCCATTTAGTCAAATACATCAGAGGAGATGGCCTGTGGGGCCAAATTCAACCCATAGAGACATTTTGTTCGTGTTTAAAAGTGAGAGATTACAAGAACCCAGATTGCCAGTTTCTCTTTAGAAAACTCAGGCAGTACTGGGCTCACAGTCCCACAGGGGTGCAGCTGAGGACCCGCTTCCCAGCTGTGCACACCCGCCCCAGTGCCTCTCAAGGTTGGTCACCATTCGGCACTGCTGTAGGGTGACATTCATCTCTACCCCATCCTCTGCACTCAGTTACTGACACAACCCACCTGGACCCTGGACTCACTAGGATTTGCAAGCCCTGCTGTGCAACATGGTAACGCTCGCCTTTTGGGGTCTGAAGCAATACAGGCTGACAATGTCAATCATTCGAGCCAATTCAATGAAAAGTGATCAGTAAAAACAAAAATCAGTCAAAACGATCACTCTGACTGAACTCGGCAGAAGTCAGGTGCAATGCACTTCTGTCACATTGTCACATCCCTGTCACCCTGTCTCCTGGACTGTCATCCCACTCTGCCCCTCCCCTTGCCCTTCATGTGTTTCCTTTGGGGGGCGCCGCTGAGTGGCTGGGAAAGCCAGCTCTCCTCTCCTGTCCTGGGAACCCAGCTAACAGGATTTTGACCTGTGGACTCCGAGGGAAGGCTGAGCAGCATAGGATTGCTCAGGCCAGGCTCCCCAGCCACCACAGAGACGCTTACTTGAAATCCGCCGGGTCAGGCTGTATGTAGACTTTGATGTGTCCGAGGATGAACATCTTCGATCTGGGGAGCTGGTACGTGGGGTCAGCGGGACATCACTGGCTGTGTGGACTGAATCCCCGTCCTTGTCACTGCTCCTGCTGGCCATCCTATGGGAGGGAGAGGTCTCAATGGTTGTCAAAGAATCCCCAGGGACTGATATCTCTGTGCTTTGGAGAAGAGACCCAGGAGAAAATAGCTCTCAGGCCCAGGTAATACAACTTGGAATAATGCAAATTTGAAATAATGTGGTAGCTCTAAACTCTCCCCAGTGTTTTGCTTTTTGTACAAAAAGTGAAGTGATATGAATAAATATTTCCCAATTTAGAACAATCAGTCAAACCTGGGGCTGGGGGAGGGATATGGAAACTTTTTTTTTAAAGAAAACTCTTTTTTAAAGATATTATTTATTTTTAGAGAGAGGGGAAGGGAGGGAGAAAGGGAGGGAGAGAAACATCAACGTGTGGTTGCCTCTTGCACACCCCAAACTGGGGACCTGGCCCGCAACCCAGGCATGTGCTCTACTTGTGTATTGAATCAGTGACCCTTTGGTTTGCAGGCCGGCACGCAATCCACTGAGCCACACCAGCCAGGGCAGGACATGGAAACCTATTCAGGATATGGCCACGGTGGTGTTGGGGGTGGGAGTGGGGCGCCACTTTGACTAAGTCAAGAGAAGCCTGTCAATCTTCAGTCTGGAAGGAACCATGTGGCTATTTATGTGCATCTCAACTTTTGCAAGTGGCTCTTAGTGAGAAGTGCCCTGCTATTTCAATAGTCGCTGTGTCTATAATTTAACATCTTTTAGAAATATCCTAGAACAATGTCACTCAAGGGTTCTTTAGTGGCAGGGCTATAGCTACAAAACAGCTCTGAGAATCAATGAGGGAAGAACAATAGTTTGATGTAAAGAAACAGCTATGAATTAACAGCAGCCATGATTCAACGTGCTCCCAATGGAAACATGGAAAGCCCTGGTCGGAGGGGAGGTAAATACAAAGCAGTAACTAAGAAGCACAACCTCTTGGTTTCAACCTTGGCTGGGGAACCTTGAGCAAATCCCTTCCTGTCTCTGTGCCTCCGTCTCCCCATCTGTAAAATGGGAATAATAATAGTGTCCACCTTGCATGGTTGCTATGAATACTGAATGAGTTCACACATATAAAATGTTTACAATGGTGCTTGGTATTTTGTAGGTAGGTGCCAAATATATTTCAGCTAGTATTGTTAACAGGGGTGACTTTAAGATTCCCCCAATAGTCATAATGCTATTAGGTTAGGATGCTGCAGCGGGAGGAGGGAAGGAGGGCACATGAGCTGGCAAGTGGCCGTGAGATGGATGCTGCGAACAACATGCCCCAAGCCATCACAGCTGCGGATTGATGTGTTCTGAGACTGCATCCCCCCAGGTTGACATTTAAGTCTGCAGGGAAACTAGTCCTGAAAAATGCAAGTTTCTAATTCTCTGAGGATTTCCGATACATCCTGTGCATGAAATGAAATGGATCTGATGTTCTTCCAAAGTGGTAATAAGGGTCACAGCGAGGACGAGACTGTCCTCGGTGTTACAAGAGGCGGAAGCACACAGTTCTTGTCTGCCTCTTGCTCCTGGTCTCTGGAAGGTGAACCAGGCAGATGAAATGTGGGGCATGGAAAGCAGGGGAGGGCACAGAAATGGGATCATATTGTACCAATTGTTCTTCTTGCTCTCCCTTAAACGAAAGCTGTTGCGTCTTCCAAGGAAGGCAGCACCAAACATTATGGCCACTGAGGCATCTCCGCCTGCATGGCCTGCTTCCCAGCTGTCACACCTCTGCAGCAGTCACTTCCACCTGGAAGTCCCATCTAGCCTTCAAGGATCAGCTTAAACACCACCAGCCCCTGAGGCCATAGTTGAGTCCTCTCAGACATAGTACCAGTGTGTGCCTGAGCCACCCCATCTCCTCCACCACCTGGCAACCACCAAGCCTCCCTGCTCTTCCTCCAACACGCTGAGCCATACCGTTGCCTCCGCCTGGAATGCTCTTCCAGTCCCCATCAACTGTTTGGTTCCTTGTCATCACTCAGGTCTCAGCTTTAATAGCATCTCCTCTGGGAGGCCCCACCCTGTCCCCATCACTCCTCCCACTTCCATCAGCCTTACCGGTGCACCTGCTTTTTCCCCTCTTTGACACTGCACATAACCCATCTTTAGTTGTGGTTTGCCTGCTTTTCTTCTGCATCTAACACCAAGAGGTAGCTCCACAGGGGTATCAACGGTATCTGTCTCAGTCACCACAGCCAACCTTGCCCTAGTACCTGGCACATCTGGGGTGCCCCACATTTATTGTCTCAGTGAATGAATGAATACACCTTTCCTGTGGTTCTTATCCCATTTCTCTTGTGTCACCATGATCTGAGTGCATGTCTTGTCACCCCTCCTATACCAGGGCACACTTCTTAATGGTGAGATATGCACTTGTTGTGATCAAAGGTACAGGTGTTGGGTGCCTGCTGTGTGCCAGACACTGGGCTAACTGCTCTGTATGAACCATCTCATTTCACCCATAAAGTAATCTGGGAATTAGGTGTTATTAATAACCCTGCCCCTTTTATTGGTGGGGGAATGGGAGCCCCAGGGTGAGGAGTGGATGATTAATCGGCACCACTGTTAATGGTAGAACCCCGACTGAGTCAAATGACAAAAGACTCCAGGTCACAGCTCCACACTTCTGAGCTGGGCAGTAGGCACCCCACACACATTTGTTGGACAAACGAATCACTTGACTTTAATTCACTCTTCAGTGAGGGTCTTTCTGGCATTGCCCCAAAAGGAGCCAGCTGGATCATACAGTTTTTCTGCCCCTCACCAGGCCAGCCCAGCCCGGGAAAGCTTGCGACCCATGTGACAGAAGCACATGTGACAATAATGATGTGTCCCTCACCCAAAGGGCCAGCTCATCGGCCACCCCTGTGGCTCTGGACTCAAATATCACAGCAGGAACAGTATCGCAAAGCCTGAGCACTTGACGTTTCTACTTTCTGCCTGTTTGATAACATGCAACTGCCCACTTGGTAAATAAATCTGGGGAAAACACAAGTTGTAAATTCGTTTTCTGAAGGATTTAACCTGCTTCCCCTTTACAGATTTCTCTTAACATTTTGCATTGTGTTGAGAGGCAAAAGTGCACTAAGTGATACCCAGGATCCAAGGAAGACCTGGTTCATCCCGGGCAGCATGAAGGTCACGTGCGGCTGTGCCGGCTGCAGGCTGCACAACTCCAGATGGTGCCGTTCCCAACAACCACCCAGTGAAGGGCTCCTCCTGAAATCGTGTGGTGCGTCAGCTCTGCTAGGAAGTTTCCAACCCACTTCTCTGCTTGTGGCAAAATAAAAAACCTGTCTCCCCAGAGGGTCCCACCCCTTGCCCCCTAAAAAGAGCCCTCTGCTTGCCCAAAGGGTCAGCAGCCTGTCAAACACTACTGTCATCCAAGTCAGCGGATGTGCATCTGTAACACTCCATCTGGGTGTCTGGGGGCAAACTTCTATCCGACTGTGATTTTCAGTGTCCATCGCATCAAAAGAAAATCCAAATTCCTTAATCTGGCATTCAAGACCCTACACAATCTGAGTTAACAGAATCATTTTCTACAATCCCTGCAACAATTCCAAGACATAGTATCTGGTGTTTTCTGCCCTGGATCCAGTTATAGCACACAAATTGTCTATTACAGAGGTCAGCAAACTGCAAGACCAAATCAACTTCCTGATTTTGTAAATGAAGTGTTACTAGAACACAGCCATTCCTATTCATTAATGTATTGACTATTACTTCTGCACTGGAATGACAGAATTGACTAGTTGTAACAGAAACAAAGCCCATGAGGCTGAAATATTTACTATCTGGCCCTTTACAGGTGAAGTGTGACAACCTCTGTTCTACTAGCCTAGTTCATGTGTTTCAAGTGAGAATGACCCTTTTCCCAGTTTCAGGATGGTCAAGCAACCCAGTCAAGGTCCTAGCACCATTTTCTCCATGCAAAAGTGACTGGGTCACGTGCCTGGTACATTTATACCAAGCCAGGGTAGCAAGAGCCTTTCCTGGTGTTTTTGCTGCTGCTAAGAATGAAGCAGAGAAGGAAGAAGCTTAAGAATGAGGCCTATAGAAGAGAAACAGAAAGAAAACGAGAGAGTACATGCACGAACACACAACCATGATTTCATGTAAGCCCCTGGATCTGGCAACACCTGAAGCCGTTACGCCTGGATTTTTTCCATTAAAAAACTCTATGCAGGACTGTCATATGGGTGTGCAGGGAGTGAATGCACAGCCCTACGGGGTGATTGGACTTGTGTCCCTGCCTTACCTCCTGTACTAGCTTTTAAGTCCCCCGAGCCAGAAACAGGACTCTTTCAAGCCTGTGTGTCCCACAGAGCCTGCAGGATGCACTCAAGAAATAAGTACCGAAGAAACTACAATTAACTTCTCAATTGGATGACTGGCACTTTCAAGATTCACTTTCTGCCTGTAGGTTAGTCAGTTGGTCAACAATCATGTGTTGGAGTAAGACAGATGAAGACCCTGCCCTCACAGAGCCAGCATTCTTCTGAGCGTGGCCTTAACTAAAAGACACCAGATGGGCTGAGCCAACCTCCGCCCCATGGGGCACTGCAAAATGGGACTGAGCTCTTGATCAATGAGTTGATTTCACCAAACATTTCAACACTGCTCACACCTGCAGGATTCAGGCTACAATCTGTGAATAACGGAAGAGCACCTTACCATTGCCTTTAATCAGTTTAAAGGATCCCTATCAATACCTACCAAGGAGAGAAATGAGTCCTTACTACTGCAAATAAGCATGGTATGTGCATACATCATTACTCTTAATAATAGCCCTACAAAGTCCTGTGACTGTTCCCACTTTACAGATGAGGAAACCGAGACAAAAACAGGGTAAAAAGACTCTCATTTAGGACTGCCAACCAGGTGTCAAACATTCTTGAGTCCTTCTCCATATACTAATTCCTGCCAGCACCTATGAGATAAAAACAACCCTATGAGATAAAAACTGTTATTTTCATCACTACCACTTCACACCTGGGAAAGTCAAGGCACAGAGGGCTCATGCAACTTGCTCAAGATCCCAGAACCAGGAAAAAGTAGAAGAAATAAGATACCAACTCACAGAGACTGAGACAGAAACATTTTGTTACAGAAATATTCGACACTTGCTTCTAAAGAAGAGAAAACAAGAGGAAGGACTGAGGCATGACTCCCCGACATGGAGGAAAAGATGGGGCACCACAGTCCTCTAGAATCTCAGCCCAAAGATTTAGTGGATTCAGCACTGGGTCCCCACTATGGCTCCAGCCATGGGCCCTTGCACTGTCTCGTTCCTCTCTGGGCCTCCCCCTCTGTCTCATGAGAAGTTGCACTTGATTATTCCCAGACCCTCAGGGCTCAGCCCACACTCTCTGTCCACATTCCCTCCCAGCCAAGAGAGGTGGACCAGACACATGGCTGAAAAGCTTCAAAACTGTGTTCCCAAAATATCTGAGTGACTGGCAGATGGAGATGTTAGATGCAGGCGCGGGAGGAGAACGAATTGGAAATAAAATGAAAGATGCCAAAAAGAACATAAACAGCGTTGGAGGACAGGATGGAGCCTGGAGGTGCTTTCAGCTTCTCTATTTCTGAAGCTCGTGGCCAGATCAGCTAAGATGCACTTGTTTGTTCATTCCATCTACCCAGCCATGCAACACTTACTCAGCATTTACTATGCGCCAAGCACTAGGCCGGGTGCTAGGCCAATCTGTCACGCTGACTTGGAGGGACACCTTTGGAGTCTGGAGATCCCGTGAAGACTATCGACATTCACAGATCTCTTTTTGTTCTTGGAAGGACACTCAATGTGATTACAAGTGCCCACATGTTTAGCATCACACAGTTCACATCTCAAAAAATGTGAAACTAGCTGAACAAAAGTCCCAACACCAGCTGGTCTCACCAGCTTGCCAAATGAATTGAGAGGCACAGAGCATGTCCCCGTCAACAGCAAAGAAGTCCATGGGCACTCTGCCTTTCCCGCCTTCATACCCTGAATCCTCCTTCGCTTGGCCCGACCCCCTCTCAGCAACGGAGAAAAGAAAGGTCTTGAGATTGCTCTCCGGGAAGTTCAGAGCAGTGTTACTTACAGCCAGGGAGGAGTCTGGGCAGGAAAAGGTCCCAGAATTTCAACTTCATCCTCACTCGACTGGCAACAGCTGGACTCATAGCACTTCTGACAGCAGTGCCGGCAAGTCCATCTGCACAGCAGCAGATCGGAAATTCTAGAAAGAAATCCCTGAGGCCATTGGGGGAGGCGGGTGGGGGAGGGGGTTAGAGGGGACACAGGAAGGGTGGAGAGGAGGAAAAGGAAAAACACCCGAATTACAAGCAGCCCGTCCCTGGTGAGAAACAATATTCAGGAGGTCTGTCTCTGCTGTCAACACTTGGAACAAAATGTTTTCCATTTCTGTTTACCAACTGCAGGCACGAAGATGGCAAACACCAACTCACCGGAGCCATTAATAGCGAGCAAAACATTTGCAGGTAGTTTCTTTTGTAGTTTATGGAAACGTCTTTCTTGACATGTGGGCGGTAGACCCAACATGGTGAGGGCTATACAACATGTTCCCGAAACACAATGAATATTAGTCTGTCTTCTTGAAAGCAAAGCAAAAATCGTTGTTTTTTTTTTAAAAAAAGATAATTGCAGTGATGTGAAAGGAAACAGAGATAATCAAATGAAATAAGTAGGGGTGGGGAGGGAACCTATCTTGTGGACTAGTGTCTTTTCCCTGGGATCTCCCTGCCATAGAAATTCATCAAAACCATGCCCTTATCAACATCCGGTTACTGTTTAATATTCAATATTCCCCAGAGCCTCACAAAAGACTCCACAAAAAGCAAGCATTTCTTGATTAGAAGCCAGACCAAATGAATCATTGAATTAACCCACCTCATTTAAAGGTTCCAACTGCCCTTTTAGAGATCCAAGATGAAGCCAAGGGGTAGAGGGGGTGGGGGTGACAAAAAGAGAGAGACAAAACCAGTTTAGCAATATTCCAGCAACTCGAAAAAGAAAAAAGAAAAAAAAATCACCCTGGATCTTTCCACTTACCATCCTGGGAAGGGAGCTGACTTCCTAACAAGGTGTTGCTATCCCCAGAGCTGCTGGTAGCCTCCTGGCTAACCAATACCGAATAAATGGGAAACTTTAGCATTTCGGTTTGATTTGCACCGTATGCTGTTATGAATCAGAGCGGGTGGATAGATAGTCATGCTATCCAATGCAGCCACACTTTAGAACAGCAAACCTTCCTATACAGAAATAGCCCTGAAGCCAACCCAAAAGGACATGATCAGCTAACATGCAGGCAGGCACAGAGTGGATGTGACTTGGCTCCCCCGCCCTTCTGGAGGCACTACCTTCCAAGTCTGCTCCAATGGAGACAGTGGGAGCTTCATATGACCACCCACAAACAGAGGGAGCCAAAAAGGAAGGCATAATCTGGTCCTTGGAGGAGGGACAGGCTGCCTCCGTTCTTTGGCCCCACCCCGCATCTCATTTTCTCACAGGTTTCCAAGACACAGGATCCTTCCCCTTTTCCAGGGAAGAGTCTTGATGGCTTTCCAAATGGGCCAAGTAAACCAGGTAGGTTAGGAGGAGTCCCGTATCCCAGCCTGGGACATATCCCAGAGATGAACTCAGGTGGGATTTGAACTCAGAACTCTGAGGGAGGAAGTTAATTGTCTTTTTCAATTCTCTTGCAAGGAAAAGAAAGACTCAATTTGGTACCATTCTATGTTAATATCTTTCTCATAGGTGCAAATCTCCCCACCCCTGCCCCCTCAGAGAGAAGACTCCCAGCTCAGAGCAGGGCAGAAAGCCCTTTACAGCTAGAATCTAAGAATGTGGCATTACTATTATTGTGTTTCTTTTTTCAGTTGCCTTCTGTTTATAACAAGTGATCCTCATTTTCTAATATGGTACTGACATAAAGTTTCCCTTTCATATGAGTTTTTAAAGTAAAAAAGTGGGGGGGGGGTCATTTATAGAAAAATTAAGTCAAAAAACCGTACAGGTGGTACATAGCTCATGAAAAATTCACAGTCCCTGAAGTGGTGAGGATATAGCTGCACCTTGGGAAACAGGTCTTGGGCACTAGCCACAAACTCTTCCAAAAGCAAAACTCAAACCAGAACAAGACCTGCTTGTGGGGTAAGGTGGTGGTGGGGAGGGCATAGGAAGAGCTGAGTAGAGAAGTGCCAGTCCTGGCCTCACCACTAGCCGATCATGTGACTTGGGCAAGTCGTGGGGCCACTCTAAGCTTCAGTTACCTCTTTTCTTTCATGGAAACACTAAACTAGGGCACCGACTATGAAAATGCTTGGGCGCTGCCCAGCTGCAAAATATCTGCCCCCTTTCTGTGGCTTGTGAGAACAAGGTGGTTTGTCAAGACCAATTGGAACGTACCGGGCACCAGGGACTGTCCTGGCCAACAGAGCAGTGACCAAAGCATCAACAAGCTACGTCCTCGTGGGGCTTACAAGATCAAGTGCTTTAAAATGCTTCCAATAAAGTGCAAGGATAAAGTGATGCTTTTTCTTGCCCATGATCTTTATTTAGGGAAGCGTTTTCTCAGTATGTGGTGATCAAAAGAGAACCATTTACAAAGCCAGGATGAGCAGAGATAAAGCCACCTCAGGGTCTCTGTAAGGAACAACCATCCAGCCTCCTCCAGACCCAGGTGCAAGACAAGTGTGTCGGGGAGCAAAGAGAAACCAAGGAAGATGAAGACAGAGGAAAGAGAAGATGCTCTGATGCTACCAGGCATGTTTGATGAGCCATTCCTCACACTGGTTCCACTGGGTTCATATGTTTGACCCAATGGAGGAGAACTGATTCAAGCCAGAAAGAAACAGGATGAGAGCAAGCCCAGAATTCTGCAACAAGGTTGACAAACCTGGCCTGCAGCCTGTTTTTGTACAGCACTCAGCTAGTAATGGTCTGTACACTTTTAAGTGTTTGAAAAAAAGTCAAAAGAAGATGAATACTTCTTAATTCGTGCAAAGTACATGAAATTCAAATTTCAGCATCCACAAATAAAGTTTTATTGGAACACAACCACGCCCATTAATTTATTATCATGTACCATATTATCATGTATCATGTTCAGCACCATAGTTAGAGTAGGAGAGTTGAGACACAGATCTTGCAACTCACAAAGAAAAAAAATATTTACTCTCTGGCCCTTTACAGAAAAAGTTTAACAACTTGTTCTAGAAGTAAAGCCAACATCACCAGGCCTTCCTCATACTCGATGCTTAACAAATGTCCCACTGATCCCCACAATCCTGCCTTTTAGATCTCACCTCGACCCCCTGAAGCAGCTGTGTGGCCTTGCACAAATCATTTGATTTTCCTGTGCTGAAGGTGATCATTCAGAACTGTAAAAGCCTATTCAAGTGTCCTTTGTGTCCCACTAGGTCGTGCACTCTGAGAGGCATGGCCTGTGCTGTTTTCACAGCTGTGCTCCCAGGGCCCACACATCGTAAGTGCCTACGCAGCTGTTTGTTGAGTGACTGACTACTGAATAGTCCCCCTAACAACATCCAGGACACAGTGTCTGTAAATGTGACCTTCAAAGAACTTGAAGACACAGATGACCTGGGGATTTCATGAAAAGGAAGCCAGTGGAGCTAATCTAAGTCAGAAGAGGGATGAGGAGGCTAGCCAGGTGGCAGAGCGCAGAGTTTTTGGCAGACTAAAAAGTCTAAGGACAAAATGGGGGAACTGTGAGCCAGAGGGAAACTAGGGGACCAGCAGCCCCTCCAACTGTGGCTGAGATGAGAACTAAGCCCAGGTGCACCTTGAATGTAGGAGCCTATAGGCTTCTCTGTGGGGCTCAAAGGAGCCAATCTCAGAAGCAAGCAGCTCAAAGGGTCTGAGTGCATGACCTTGGCGCTGACCTGTCACCACTTCCAGCCTTGTATTAAGGAAAGGTCTCTTAGTCAAGCAGATCTCCCGCCCACAAAAAGAAAGCCATGCTTGGAAATTATTTCAGCCCAAGGACTATTGGGGGAGTTTCCCCAAAATGATGGGGGTCCACAACTCCCAACCCCAATGCAATGGCTTAAAGTAATCGACTGCCCTACCACTACCGCCAGCATCACCACCAGCACGCCTCTGGTGTGTCCCCCACCCCTCAGCACCCAGTGCCCGGAAGATACGACGTCCTGGTCCCTCCTGGCCAGAACAGCTGCCTCAGGCTCCCCGGGCCAGCCAAGCAGTCCCAGCCGTCACCAAGGCAACCGCAGCTGGCCGGGCGGGCCGCGCCGCTGGCGTGGCCCGGGCCGCCCTCGCCGCGGCCCCTCCCCTAGGGTGGGGTTCAAAAGGAGAGGGAAGGGGAGGCGGAGGGGGGAGAAAAGTCCGCCTAACCCCCTCATTCCCTACTAAGGAGGCGAAGGCGCGAGTGCAGAGTCGGCAAGGGACCCATCATTCCAGGGGTGTGGGGGTGGGGGGCGGGTTCCCCAGCCTCTTCTCCTGGGGCGCACAGGTTGCTGAGCTCGGGCACCCTTGCACCCTCCGGGGCAAGTTTGTGGGAGCCTCGCCGCGTGCCCTCCTTTACGCGTGCTCACAGTCGAAAAGGGCACGGCCCCTCCACCCACACCGCGGACCTGGCCCCCCAGCCTCAGCCCTACCTGGATATACGCCATTTTCACCCGTGCGACTCACTCCGGCCCGGGCATGGCGCCGCCACGGCCCCTTTGCCCTCGCCAAAGGGAGACGGGGGAGAAAGCAAAGGGGGAAAGGAAGAAAAGGCGGCCGGTGGCCCCAGACGTGACTGGCGTGGTTGATGAGCGGCGCCCGCCCCTCCGCCGGCCGCCCCGTCCTTGCCTTTCCCTGCGTTTCGGCTCCGGGAGTCGGGGCCACCTCCAGGTTGCGGGAGCTGAGGTGCCCAGGTCCCCCTCCTTGGCCTCCCTCGCTGTCCCGTGCTCCCCCCGGAGTCGCTCCCCAGGCTGGAATGAAGCCAGGGCGCCTGAGGAGGGAGCTGGGGGCAGCGGCGGGGATTGCAACGACCCCGGCGCAGGCGGGGCCGAAGACGCAGGGGCCCGTGCGCGCAAGAGGCGGGGGAGGGGATGGGGATGGAGAAGCGGGTGGGAGAGGGCGGTGCACGGGTCAGCCCATCCAGTCGGCGCCAGGGCTGGCACCTACCGAGAGCAGAGCCTCTGGGGTGGCTGTGAAAACGAGGGATGTACAATACAGCCTGCTATAGAGCCTGGAGCTGGGAAGGTCCTCCCCAATCCAGCCCTCTCTCAAACCAGCTTGGAAAAACTTTATTCCCGCCCCATCCGACGCGCCTAGAACTGTTGCAGTGCAGAACGCAGAGGCCAGAAGAATGGGAGCCCCAGGTTAAGGTGGGGCATGGGGCACCCCAAGGAAGATGCGACATGGGACGCAGAGGCTAGCGGAAAGAGCGAAGCGCCCCTTTGCCCTAACCTGGTCGAGTTGCGCCCTTGGCGCAACAGGTTTGGCTTGGGGCGGCCGGGCAGCGCCACCCAGCGTCGTGCCCAGAGTCGTGAGCGCCTCTGCCCGCTCGAAGCTCCGCGCCACCTAGCGCGCGCCCCAGGGCGTGTCCACCTGGCAGCTTCCCCGCCAGGCTAGTACGCCCTGGGCCCGGAAGCCTCCCCCAAGACCGTCCTCCCACTCCAAGGCCGCAGAGCTAAAGGCTAGCTCTCCACTGAGAGATCTGAGGTGGAACATTGCCCTCCGCCGGCTCTCTTTTTGAATGCCCAGCCATCTGCAGTTGCCAGTCACGAGTTTATCAACCTTTTAACCTCCCAGCGCCTCTGTCTTTTCATGGATAAAAAATAGCATAAAATCTCTGTCCCGCTTATCCTTCAGGGCAATTTTGTGGGAATAAATGAGGAAATGAGTGTGGAAGTAATAAAAGATGTGCTACACATGTTTATATATTTTGTGTAAAAATCCAGTGTGCATATACATTGTGATAAATCTCATTTGGAGCCCATGGCATGTAACACATGCTGAGCTCTTATAATTCGGCAACACCCACAAGCATTATTTCGTTTCATCCTTCTTTCTCACCCCTATGCATCTAGCATAGTGCTTGTAAGGCAGCAGATAGGAAGGAGAAAACTCCGAAGATGCCCCAGGGCTAAGATAAAGGACTTCCATACTGGACAGAGACCCCATTCTAAGACCTGTTGTTCCAGCTTTCTGGAAAAGTGCTGAATCATGATGAATCATAAATGCACCTGTGCCGAAGATGCTACATGACCCATGCTTCATTATAATAGCATTATAATAAATTAACATTGTGGGACCCCCCCCTTCCCAGTGGCCAATCAAGGAAAATCATGGGAGACCACATGTGCAGTCGCTCTAAAGTAATATAACTACTTGTACCTGCACAACAAAACCCTGCCAAAACTAGCCAGGAAATATCCACCCTATAAGAACAGAATCCCTCCAGCCCAGGAGGTCAATCTCTCCTTGGAGTTGGCCCACTCCCATGTTCTGTGGAGTGTACTATCACTTAATAAATCTGTGCTCCCTCTGCTATAAACTCTCTGTGTATTTGGCTCTTTGTCTGCAATCACCAAGAACCTGGTTACCTGTGCCTACCTGTGACACCTGAACAGAGGAGGCACTCATTCAGTGTTTTTATTGCTGCTGTTGACTTGACTATTAACTTTATGAAGAAAGTGCTGCAATTATCCTCAATTTACAGATGAGGAAACTGAGGTACAGAGAGGGAAACTGAGGCATGGCAGCCGGCAGCTGGTGCACTTGCGTTTGAACCCACATTGTCCAACTCCTAACAAATTTATGGTATTTATCCAGTGTTTCTTCTGCACTGATGGGAAGGGGTGATTTGATTGGTAGGAAGTGGGCTTCACGGAGAAGGGTGCCTGCTAGGATGGGTGCCTCTTGAGGGGACTTGTCAGAGATGGAAGAATTTGCCAGGGGTTTCCATGAAGAATAGCTAACGTTTTTTGAGACTGTGTGTCTGAAAGACTGTTTTACGGCTTTTACACAAATTCAATCTTTTAATTCTCTGTTAATCATGAAGTGGACACCACTATTACTATCCAACTCCTTAGATGAGAAAAAAGGAGGCATAAAGAAGTGAAATAACTTGAACAGGGGTATGCAGCATCAATGAGTTGGGGTTCAGAGGCAGATTAAGCTGGAACCTTCCACAAGCCCCTTCACCTGGCTACCTCACAGTGCAGAATCTTGAGGGGAAATGGTGTGTATGAAATCTTTAGGGTTAGTTTGGGACCTTAGTCCCTAAAGACTTAAAGTTGTCTGAGAATACCAAGCACCCCTCCTCCAAAGGAGGGCATTATTTTTTAAAAGGGGATGATAGAAACTGCCTCTGGAGGTATCAAATGCTTTCATGTATATAAAGCACCTGGCATGCAGTAGGTGCTTAATAAAGTCTTGCTGAAAGAATGAATGCATGGTAAGAATGCTTCTAACTGGAGTTATTAGGACTGAGGACTGAGCACTGTGCATACATTCTTGTTAAAACCTCACCGGAGTCCTACAAGGTAGGTGCTGTTATCGTCTCATCCATTTTACAGGTAAGAAAGCTGAAGCTCTGAGGGGAAGTGGGTCACTCAGGTAAACAAGGAAAAGTGACAGGGAGAGGGTGAAAGTGCAGATCTGTTTAGCTCTAAAAGCCCAGCTCTTTGCAGCTGCGCCATCTGCCTCAGATGTACGAATGAAAGAGGAGTCAGTCCGAAGCCATTCATCAGGGGAATGTCAGTTGTCACTCCAACATTGGAGTTCGGGGTCCCCAGCTTGGTGAGCTTCTCACTGCCCTTTTCAGGGTCCTGCAGTCTGGCTTTCAGGTGTGAGGTGGACAAGGCAGCTGGCAAGTTCACAGGTCTTGGAGGAGATGCCTACAGTCCATGAGACTGACAAATGTGTGGGATCATGTGTGACCTGTGGTGTGGTAAAGTGGGGCCAGCAATCTGTGGGGTTACAGAAGAGGAGACCCAACCTAGTATGTTCAGGGTCATAGGAGGTTTTCTACAGGGGGTGATATTAAGCCAAATCCCAAAGAACAAAAAATGGGGAGATGATTCTAGAGCCCGATGGTGCTTGACTTGGCCAGGGTGGGGTGGCGGGGAGGAGGAGGAGTCCATGGATAGGATTCTGGAGAGTTCGTGAACTTAGAAAAGAAAAAAGTTACATCTCTGTTGTCACTAACCTCTAACTAAGATTCATTATCTCCTTTCATCGTGGATGCAGGGAGCAATATTAGTACTTACCTGGGACTTTGTCACCAGTAGAAATTTGTATATTCATATCACATTACAGTTGTCGCAAATAACTTGAAATTTCTTTTATACTCTTTACTGCTTGAAAATTATAACCATTATTAGACCACCACTGGCTCTTTCTATGTAATGCATTCATGGAGAAGCACATATATTACCATATAAATTAATCTCAATATTTTGATAAGTAGATGTCAATATAACTATAATTTCATTATAAGCTTGCATATTCTACTCTATGATTTAAAAAAACATTATTTTGAAATAGGGTATATAGGCTCCACAGGCTAGCAAGGGTCCTTGGCACAGGAAGAATTAAGAACCCTTGAAAGTAGCATGTGTGTTAGCTTAGAGGTGAGCGTGAGAACTGCAAGCAGTTCTGCTGGAGCCCAGAGAGGGCAGTGCCAGGTGAGGTCTAACAGGTAGGAGGGGCCAGATGCCAGGCAGCCTCACAAATTCCCCCATATAAGAGCAAGAAGGATCAGGTTCAGAAAGAAAGATGTTGGCAGGGGCATCTGTTTGCGTGCATGGAACAGGCAAGCCTGGAGACAGGAAGCCGTTGCCACAACCCAGGTAAGAAGTGATGTGCGTCTGAACTATTCATGGTGGTGAATAATGGCTGCAACAGAATAAGCAGTAATGAAACTGTGGAAGGCAAGGGGAGCTAGAGGAAAGCAGTTTGCTAGAAGAGGAGTCAGGGTTTTGTGTTTGGATATGTTGAATCTCAGATGTATATTATCTAGGGTTCCTGAAAGAAACCCAATTCAATCCAGCTTGAGCAAAGAAGAGCTCACCAGCTCATTAACTGGGAGTCCAGGGGCAAATCCTGCTGCTGTGGCCAGACTTAGGGATGCTGTTGGTGTCCTGAGGACCCATGCTCGCTCCCTCTCACTCTGTGTCTCACCTTCCCACAGCTTCTCTCTGAACACTGGATTTTCCCCTAGAGTAAGTTAGCTTCACATAGCAGAAAAATGGCCACTAGTGGCCTTGAACTTGTATTTTAATAGCTTATACTCCGAATAGGAAGAGAGTCTTTATGAAACCTTAAGGAAAAACTCTAATTGGTCTTGTTTGGGTCATGTGCGTCTACCTCTGGACCAAGTGCTGAGGACTCAGCACTCTGCTTGAGTCTGCCTGGACCAGGTGACCTAAGAGGCATGGGCACCATGAGCCATGACCTACAAGGACCACAGAGAGATGGAGAGGTGCAGGTTCTCTAAAAAAAAGAGATTCTGAGAGACAAAAACAGCACACCCACAATGATATGGCTGTGGAACATCCAGGCAGAGATATTCAATGGACAGATGAGAGGGTTCTGGAGTTCAGCCCCTCCTAAACACAGAATGACAGAGCTGATGACCAGGAGGTAAAGTTTCAGTCACATTCTGGTGGCATTTCTGGGCTTATCTCAGTCTATAATTCCTACAACGTCTATACAGAACTTGGCCTCTCATCCTCACCCCTCCAAGTCCCTGCTCTGGATGGGAGACACAGACACATAATAATGGTTTTCTCTGTAGGTCACTTAAGGTGGCAACGCAAACCACGGACCTCAGGATAGCTATTATAATTAAAAAGCGCCAGACCGGCAAAAAGCAGTCACTGACATCCATACAGGCAACACACATCTGGCTGAGTGACTTTCTATTTCTGCCAGACAGGCTGACAGCATTTGTCTCCCAAGTCAGTTTTAGGTACACAGCTTCCCAAACACGCTGTTGTAGATCCTGTTTTAGCTGTGCCCAAAAACCTGGGCAGTGTT